GCACCAGAAGCCAGAGAAAGGTGAGCGGGGCCCCTCGTGGGTCTTCGGCCCCAACCTCCTTAAACTCGGATCCACGGCATTTTTCAGGCTCTTCCTTTTTGTGCTAGAACAATCGAATCAGGCAGGTAGTGCATCAGCGGTGGCTGGAACTCAGCATAGGCAATGTGTCCAGAGGACCTGATGCCTGACGGGCTACGTACAGGTGCCCAGGGCCATGTGTAGGGGCAGAAATTGTGTATTCCTGTCTCATCCAGAAAAGCCAGAGACCAGACTAGGCCTGAGGAATGGGAGAGTCAGCAAGCTGAGACAGGTTATACCACGAAGATGTGATCCAAACATGTTTAGAACTGGGCGTGGTGGTGCACACCTGTACTGTAATCCCAGCACTCAGGAGGCTGAGGCAGGAGGATCGCTGAAAATTGAAGGCCAGCCTGGGCTGCATACTGAGTTCAAGGCCAGTGTGGACTGACCTACATGGTGAGCTCCTGTCTCAAAAAAATAAAGTAACAAAACAAAAAAGATAAAAAAACAAAGTATGTTTGAGACCGAAGGTGAAATTAATAGAAAATAATATCAAATATATTGAAACTCAAAGGATATATTTAATTGTGGCTAGGTTTGATCTCATCTTGCTGAAGGTACTGATAAGGTGTGAATTACCTTTTCTGTGGGGTATTGCTTCATATATAAAAGTAAAGAGTTGGCTGAGTCTTGTACATTTTCAAGTCAAAGTCAAGCAATGTCAGCAATGTCGGGAGGCAGTGATCTAACCAGCCTCACCCTCATACTCCACGGCTGTTAGCTCAGGAAGTGGCCCCAGGCTCCAGGCCCCAGCTCTGTCACCCCCACCAGTTGGGAAATCTCGACCCTAATACCTTGGCCTTCTCTCCAGGAGGACGTGGCTGGCGTGGCAGGGCCACTGTGGGGCACTGAAGGACTCAGGGTGGAGAGCAGTCCCTTGGTCTGAGGGCTGGGGGGAGGAAAGAGAAAGGACAGAGAGGTGGCAGGGCGGCGAGCCCCCAGAAGAGGGACTGGAGACCTGAGGGAAATGCAGCGGACACTGTGTGTTCAGCCTTCGAGAGATGACAGCGAACCCAGTGAAGGCTGTGCAGTTTCGCCTCAGAGATGCCGCCACAAAAGCCACCCAGATTCCAGTCTACCACTGGCTGGGGACAGTGTGGCTCCTTTGGGTGGCCACTTCTGGCCCCCAAGCGGAAACAGCTCATGGGGCGGCCAGCGGGGAGAAGGGCTCACTCAGTCTGCGGTGCTGGAAATGCTGCTCTGGAGACACCGGAAGCCAGCTCGGAAGGGCGAGCCTCCCACCATGACGGCCACCCTGTGGGACCCCTGGCTGTGCGCCTTGCCGTGGGCTGTCAGCGCTGGGCTGTGCTGTGGCCCTGTGTGCTTGTGGCTCACAGGCCCGCATGATCTCACAGCTTAACACAAACACTGGATAACAAGAACTCAGGTTCTGCTGAATTGCCCGGCTTGATAAGCAGCTCTGAATGGCTGGGTGAGGCAGTGCACACCTGTAATCCCAGGACTCAGGAGGCTGAGGCAGGAGGATTGCCGAGAATTCAAGGCCAGCGTGAGCTACCTAGCAAGGCCCATACATATAGTATATACACACCTGCCAGATACAGCAGTAAGAATGCATAAGCAAATCCTGCCATGGTCACACAGCAGAATGTACTCAGCAATAAAAGAGAAAAAAATTGATACGTTCAGTCATATGAATACATCTTAGAAGCATTATAATGAGCCAAGAAGCCAGATGAACATATATGTAGCCATATGTATAATGTAAGTACTCTGATTCCATTGCTGTGAATTCTGAGAACTAACAAAGTGAACCTATGGCGGTAGAAGTCAGTAAAGAGCAATGAGATGATTAAGAAGTCACACGGGGTGCCGGGGGTTTAGCTCAATGGCTCCGCCGCCTGCCTCACAAGCGCAAGGTCCTGAGTTCGATCCTCAGTACAAAAAAAAAGGAAGTCACACAGGGAATCTCCACTTCCTGCAGCAACAGACCTTTTCTTTCCTTTTTTTCCCCCCTTGGAAATTGAACCCAGGGCCTTCACATTGAGCTACTCCCCAGCACGTCCCCACACGCACTTTTTTTAAACTTTTGAGGCAAGGTCTTGCTAAGCTGCTAAGGGGCCCAGCACTCTGGGAGGCTGAGGCAGGAAGGCTGAGAGTGGCGGGCATTTTCCATCTCATGACCTGGTGTGGTCACAGGCACGCACGCGCACACACGCATTTGTACACATATTCAAGCTGTGTGCATGCTTAAGGCTTGTGCTTCCTGTTGATTGCATCTCAACATCTAGAAACACACAAAGGTACTCACACTCCCATCCTAGGTCCGGAAGACCCCCTGGAACCTGGGACTGACCTTCCCCCTGCAGGAGTGCGTGCACTCTTTTGCAGCTTTCACGTTTATGGAGGGCCTGGAAAGCCCAGGGAATTTTTCTAGCATCTCTGCTGACTTTCCAGTTTGCTTTGATGCAGGAACCTGTTCTGCTTCCAGTGACTCGCGTCTTTGAAGCTGTAACACGAATGCAGTAATGAGAACACACTGGAGGTGGAAGCAGCCGTGGAGCCCGAGATTTCGCTTGGGATCCTGTATTTATAGTTTGAACAGCCCTGGCAACAAAAAGAAACATCGCTTTGGGAAATATAACCCGTACAAATTTCTAAAATGGCAGTTTCAAAGTAAACATGTAGTGATGTGTTGGGAGCCTATGCTAATTGAGGGTGGTGGTGTAAGCCTGTAATTCCAGCACTTGGGAGGCTGAGGCAGGAGGATTCCAAGTTTGAGCCCAGCTTGAGCAATTTTGCAACTTAGGGAAATCCAGTAACAGTAATAAAAAGAGCAGGATGTAACTTAGTGCGAAGGTCCTGGGTTCAAATCCCCAGTACCTCCCCCAATCTTATATTATCTTTTTGTGCTTTCTTCTGAAGAAAAAAGAAATGTGGCACTTTATAAGATTTCAAGTTAATACTGTATTTTTTACTTTTAGGAGTAAATATACTTAAAATTTAAAAATGGGTCCATGAGGTTAAGTGCTACACCCCAGCGTTGTCATCCCTGGACCCTTGGCGACAGTCCCGATTCCCAGTGTCCCCTCAGGCTGACGCAGTGGGCAGCAGTTTCTGTTGCCCGACAGGAGGGTCTGTGGCTTGGCATCCTCCACAGGCCGTCTGGAAATGTCACTCTGCACGTTCGGACCCGGAAAAAACCTCCAGTGGGCTCTGTCCCCTTCTTACCCTCCACTTAAAAAGTAAACTCAAGCCTCAGGGGTAGCAGCCTGCGCAAGGTGACCTGCCAGACAGAGAACCACGTCCGGGGTCTGTGTGCGAATCCTTCGCGCTTCTTGGAGACCGCAGCTGGCTGCGGTGTTGCGTGCTCAGTAGCATGGAGACTTTGCTGCAGTACACAGGTCTCTTCCTTTCTGCCCGAGGGACACCAAGGGGCTCCCGGATCCCAGCAAGGAGCAGACACCCGGGGTTTAGTTTCCTTATTGTTACTCCCCATCCTGCTTGGTCAGACTTCAGAGCCCGAGAGCAGGCTCTCTGGCCCACCGATGGGCCTGTGATCGCATTTCTCTCGCGCTGTGTGACCCTCCGCAAGATGGGTGATCTCCCCCGCGTCCAGCTCCCGATGTGGGAAGTGGGGATAACAAGGCCCCCACACTCCCTGCCACCCAGCAAGGCCGTCTGGCTATTTCCCTGGAAGCAGGAGCGACTGACTTTACTTCCCTTCAGCCCTTTCCTTCCATCCCTTTTGTGTCGCCTTCAAGGTCTTTTCCGATTCTTCAGATTCTGCACTTGGGCCGCGATGAGAAAGAAGTCCGTGGCGCCAGATTTGCAAGCGGCACGGACCTTTGCTTTGTGCTTTCCGGCCCTCTTCCCCAAGCGGGCTGAGTGTTTGTAAGAGTTGACACTGGAGTTATTCGAGACATTTTCTGCGCCAGTTTAAGGTCGTTGAATGGCTGAAAAGACTGGGCTTCAGTCCTGGCCAAGAGATGTTTGTGGCAACGGAAAGGGCCACAGAAAAGTAGGCAAGCTCTTTAATTTTACAGCGACAGAAAGCAAGGATCCAGAGGCTGGGATTCTGGCCTCAGTTATCCAATCGGTCCCCAGTTGGGTAAAGCCCGAGCCCTGGTCCCTCGCCCAACTCAGCTCGGTGGGTTTCCATCCTGCCAGCTGCACCCCATTAACTCCACCTCCCGAAGTGCCAAGGAAGTTCCCTCCCAGCGCCCACCCGCAGCAACCGGAACGACAGAGCCCAGCTGCCGGCGGCCTGGCCGGGGCTGAGACCCAAGTTCACTGCCCAGAACGGGGCCCGGGCGCCCTGCAGAGGGCTCGGCCAGGCCCCTTGCTTTCTCCGGGCTGTCCCCGCGGTGGCTGCTCGGGACATTCTGGGGGCCCAAATAAGGCGGGTGTCCTGGCTCTCGGTCCGTCATCCAGCCAGGCTGTCCTTTTCCTCCGTGCCCCCGACGGACCACAGTCGCCCCGCCAGTCCCACTCCCACGTCCCTGCCCCGGGAGTCGCAAGCAGCCCGCGCTCCAGACCTGCCCCGCTCCGGCGCGGCTGCTCCGGGCCTGCGGAAGGAGCTCCGGCCGCCCGGCATTCCTCGGATTCCAGCGCCGTGACGTCCGGGGCCCGCCGCGCCTCCGGCCCGGAGCCGGGATCCGCGTTCCGGCGCCCCCTCCCGACCCTCCCTCCCCGCGCGCGCTCGCGCTCCCTCCGCCCCCGCCAGAGCGCGCGGCGGCCCGGTGGGGAGCGGCGGCGCCTGCTCGTCCCCTCCCTCCGCGCGGCCCTTCCTCCCCCGCCGCGGCCGCCCGCGCTTCCTGCCGCCCGGGCGCCCGGCCCTGCAAAGTTCTGCTCAACTTCGCCGCCGTCCGCCGCGGGTCCCCGGGAGCCGCGGCCCCGTCCCGCCCGGGCTCCTCGTCCGACCCTCCGCGGGGGCGGCACCGCCGCGCCCCCGCGCCCCAGGTCCCCGCCCCGGAGCCGGCTCCGTGGGGACCGGGGCCCCGCCGCCGCCGAGGACTCCGCGGGCCATGTAAGCAGGTGAGGGGGCCGGGGCGACCCGGACTGGCGCTGGCGAGCCACAGATGTGGGGACCCCGCCGAGCGGGTTCCGGGTGGGAGCCGCGCGCCCTGGGCGCACCGCGAGCCGCTGGAGGCGCGCGCTGTCTGGGCGCCGGGCGGGCCGGGAAGGGCAGGCGGGACACCCCGACCGCGGGACCGGAGGGCGCAGGACGGGCGACGCTCAGCCACCGCTCAGGCCGGGGGTGGGGTGCAGCTCCCGACTCCCCTTGAATCCGCCCCCACCGTGGGCGCAGGGTTGGGGCGAGGGGCGTCCTCGTGCCCTCCCACTAGGCCCAGCCCTGCCGGCCTCCAGGGGCGTCCGGACTTCTCCTGGGTGGGCGGGCGAGTTCAGGGGGAAGCTCGTGGCCGCTCCGCTTCGGACCAGATCTCCGCCTCAAACTTCCAGAGCTCTGCGTAGTCACAGCCCCTTCCCACGGGGGTCTGGGGGGGTGGATACGTGCGAGTGGGTTTTCTCCCGTTCCTTCCGCAGAGAGCGCCGGGGTAGCGCCGTCCCCACCTCCCGGGCTCTCACAGGTCCTTCAGTTCCTGTCACCCCCTAACCTCCACCCGCTCCGCACCTACAATTTAAGAAGATTGCAGGGTTTTCGGCTTCAGTCTGAGGAGGCTGTTGCAGGCTGTTGCCGGCGCGCGGTGGAGGTAGGAGTCTCTCTGTACCGCAGGCTGCACTTTCCACCGATGTGTTTATTTCTGATTAGTTCCCCCATTCATTCAAGAAACCGAGTATTGCACTTTTGTCCTGCTAGAACAAGGTCGCCGCGTCCGAAGAAAGGACAGTGGCCTGGTAGAGTCTGGGATTGCATCCCAGGTAGAGGAAGTCGGTGTGCAAAGGGAGAGAAAGGAGAGAAAAGTCATTCCTAGCTGACTGGGGGTTGGAGGGGTTTGGGGCAGTGGCATGTTCCCCTTCACTCCCTACATCAGAAGGTAAACTAGGAGCAGGAAGAGCAAAAGTCCCTCTCTTTGGGCGCATCTCATGTCACCAGCGGCGGCTAAAGGACCGTCCGCATTTTAATCCGCATTAACTGACCCACGCCTGGTTTCATTAAATTGGCACGGATTCTTCTTCTGAGAGCGTCCCGGCTGCAATCTGTGATGGCTGTACCGCAGGCCCTTGTGTTGAAAGTTACCCTGTCCTTTGGTGACGGGGTTCACAGCTCTCCCGTGACGTCCTTTGGCCTCCTCTGACTGGTTGGACATGACGTGTGGAATTTGTTCACATCAGCGGAACCATTTTCCAGTATTCTCTGCTTCATCAGAGGAGGTTCCGAGGAGCTGCAGGACTCCTGTCCCTTTCTCTGGAACTGTGTGAGAAGGGAAATGGTCTTGCAGGGCTGTGCAGTGCGCTGGCCCACGATTCAGCATGGTGCCTGCACAAGTGGCCTTGTGACAAGGTTTGCCTTTGTCAGGTGCCACTCTTCGGGGCTCAAGTGGCACTGTAGCATTAGTCCTAGTGACTGAGGCGTACTCGAGGTGGCAGGCGTCCTGCTTTTGGTGACCCCAGGCCAGCAGAGAGGTGTGGGAAGAGCCTGCCGCCTCCCTACAACTTGGGGTGCTTACCCAGGCCCCGCGGAGAGCACCTCTTACTTATCACGAGCAGGCCGCTTGAGTCATTATTATTAACACTTCACTTATTCGGGCTGGTGCATGGGGCATCAGTAGACTTTTACCACGGGAGAACTACGGAGCATTTGGAAGAAAGTCAGAATTTTTACAATCCTTCAAGAGTGAAGAATTATGATTTTTTTTTTTTTTAGTGCCTTCCTTATTAGTGGGTCAGGTTTGCTCCAGAAATGCAAATATCCATCTTTTGATTGCTCATTTTAGCCCCCCTAGGTGCCCTGTTCTTGTCCTTTTCAAACAAGAATTTCGGTCAGATTCTTGCATTTGAACTTCATTCCTTAGTTACCAAGTGCTGCATGTTGCTAAAATTCATTCTGAGCCCCAGAACACTGCTGTGCACCTTGTCAGAGATAAGGGGGAAAGAGATAAGATGAAATGCGTAATTAGCCAATTAAGGCAGGAGGGAAAACAAAGGCTGCAGTAGGGAGGAAGTTACTGTCTAGAATAAACTTTGATCTCCCCTTATGGATTTAAGTTGATTTAATTTACCCTCCCTGGTGCTGACTGTGTGGAGAGGGCTGGGAATTCGTGGCAGGCTCTGGCTTTTCCTGCTGGCCCCGAGTGGAGGGGCGCACAGTGGAGATTTTGAAATACAGCTGGGTTTGAATTGCAGCTTGGCCCCCTTTCAGCTGTGTGACATTGGGCAGACTCACCATCCTCTCTGAGTCTCTTTCTCCCTCCCAGCTGCTGGGATATTTATGGAGAATTCCATGTAATGCTATATAACAGTGCCTCAGACACACCAGGTCAGGGATCGCTATTGATATGTTCGGGGAGTTGTATGTGGCCATGAATGTGTTCTTTGTTTCTTAATCAGCAGCCTGAATTCACATGTGTGCCAACATACACATAAAGCTTTGTCTTTGCCTTTTTTTTTTAGTCTGTTGGCTCAAAGCAAACATGTTGGCTGGCAGCTTCCATGCAGCCTGCCCCTCACATGGAAGAGAGTGAGAGCCACTGGACCAGGCAGTAGGATAGATGGGGAGGGCACGTTCTTTGGGAAGAGGGGCAGAGAAAGACTCTTTTCCCTGTATGCTCCTTACTGTAACAAGGGTCCAGTGTATTATGCAAGGCTCTTTGCATTCCTAATGTTGAAATCCAGTTAATTAAAGAATCTTAGCAAAACTGCCTGCCTTCAGCAAGGGTGCAAAAGCTAGCAGCTCTTCACAGAGGAGTTTCTCTGTATCCTTGACTTCCCTCCTTGAAGCCCTAGTAGAGTCAACTGCAGCACCTCCAGCATCGTGCCAGCCTCAGGTCGCTTGGATTTTAATATTCGCTTTCATCCCAGAGAAGTCTGAGGTGTTTGAAAAACACTGACTCATTGATCTCCCTATCAGCTCCCCACTGGAAGGAGTGTTAGAAGAAAAGAATAACTCACATGGAGGCTGTAGGGCAGGGAGGTGGTGTGTGTTCTTGAAGCAGGATGATACTGGGAGCTGAAATTGGTGAAACGTCTCGCCGTGCAGAATTGCAGGCCTGCCAGGAGGTCTTAGCAGGGTGCCCTCCTCCTTTGAGAGGTCCGGGTAGGACAGCCAACAGAACTTCAAGTCTGACCAGGAGTTTCGCAGTGGGAGGGGAGAGGAAGGCTATTTTGCTCAGACCAGTGAAGCTGTTGCCATATAGTGCATGCACAAGGATTATGAAAACAATAATCTTTGGATTATTTATAATTCTGAATTAAAGGATATGATGCAATGCTTGTCGACGAAGGACTTGGAGTAGCAGGAGATAAAGGTCAGAGTGATTAAGGAGCTTTTTGCTGGCAGGGGTGGTTGTGGGTCTGAGTTGGATTGTAAGTGGCATATCAACATTGTTTTCATTTCCTTCCTTTTCTTTTTTTTTCCTGTTTGTTCTGTGTTCCTTGACTTTTCCTCTCCCGTCAAGCCTTTGTCTGCTTTTGCTTCATGATCTTTGCTATTAGAAGCAGCGTCCCATAACCATTCTTCGGTCAGCCTTATGTGTAAGTCTGATGCATGGTTGACTTCACTTAGCTCTTTATGGGGCTGAATTAGGCCCGGGTCCAGTGTTGCGTCCTGAGCCAGGTCAGTGAGTTTGATCTGGACGACTGTTGCCATCCTGAGCTCCTGTGACCCTAGCTGGACACCCCGTAAGTGCTTGATGCTGGTCCCCAGGAGGAGGCTGCTGTGAACATGCGGATGGGACTTGCTGGTGGTGGGGCCTCCTCTGGGGTGTGGGGGTGGCCTCATGGTATTTGTGATGTCGGAGACTTTAGTGCCGAACATTCCCAAGTCAGGAAGACTTAGGTGGGGCCAGGCTGGGTTTACTTTGCCTTACCTGTTTGTGTGAAGTACACACTTTTCTTACACATACTCAGCTTTTGTGTGTGTCTTTGGAAATCCCTCTCTGGGTTTATTTGTTTGTTTGTTTGTTTTTCATAGCTCTCATAACTCCTTTCCTCTCAAGGAAGTGGGGTATTGGCTAAGAGCTCTACCTCCAGAGTGCATCAGAGGGCTTTGCCATTGTTGTTTTCTGAGACAGGGTCTCACTATGTAGTTCAGGGTGCCCTCCAGTGATCCTCCAGCGATCCTCCCGGCTCTGCCTCCGAATCCTGGGATTGCAGGTGTGTGCCACCATGGCCAGCTGGAGGGCTTCTTTGAACAGATTGGTCTTCTGCCCCAATCACAGTAGCTCTGGATTCCGGAGCCCTGGGATGGCCCAGGAATTCTCATTTCCAAGGAGCCGTCGTGTGAGGCTGCTGCTCCTGACCCGCCCACCTCTGTTCCTCACTGGCTTCTGCACTGTGTTTGTCTGAGTGGTTTTGTCTGCCTTCTGGTGAGTTGCAGAGAGGCCCAGCACCACTTCTGGGCCGCTGACCCCGAGCTAGGCCTGTGCGGAATGTGGATTTGATGTTCTGTAGTAGGGAACCTGCCTGGCTCTCGTTTCCAGTCCAGACCTCTCCACTCGGTTTGGTTTTGGTGGCTCTAACATCCATCCAGGTATCTGCTCTCTGTGCCCCATCCTGCTGTCTGAATTGAGCACTCCAGTTCCTGCTGTACAATGTGTTGCTTCTTTATTTCCTGTCTTGGTGACATCCCCTGTTACAATCACTGTTCAATCCGGGCACCTGGAGATCTCCTCAATATGTTGTTCTTCCTCAGCAACCACAATGTCCTTCTTCAGTCACTATGTCCTTTGAGCCTGATTGTCTGAAATATTTTCAACTCATTCCCTTTTCTCCCTCCCCACTGCCCTTGGGATGGTTCCAAGAGCTTTGGTGGCATCTGTCATGTGTTCTTTACTCATCCCGGGCTTGGGTTCGTCAGCTTTGTGTCGCTGTGATGAAAGTTGTGGAGCACCTAGAAAGGGGAAAGATTTGTCAGT